GATAGAGAGAGAGAGAGAGAGAGAGAGACAGAGACAGAGACAGAGACAGAGACAGAGAGAGAGAGAGAGAGACAGAGAGCTTGTTCGTAAGAAGGCAAATAATAATATTATTAAGTAGGAGTGAACCAACCACTTTCAATGTTGCAGGTGCTGTGAAGATGGGCGCCGGTTACAACACCAGTGAGGGAGCGCTGATGAGCCTGAACGACTACATCGTGGCCCAGCAGGTCGTCGCCTACAGCGGCATCCTCATCTCCATCTTCGGCACCGTCAGCAACTGCATCAACATCAAAACATTTCTCGCCATGGGCATCAGAGATGGAGTCATTGTTTCTTTCCTCAGTTTGTCCATCTCTGATCTTTTGACCTCGATCATGACCTTCATCCTTAGCGTATGTTTAGTGCTTCATGTTCTGGAGATTTCCAAGGGGATCATCTTTTCCCACCAGCCTCGCATGCTGGCTATTTTCGCCGTAGATCTCGGATTCATGACTTACTTGGTCACAGTTCTGACCACTATGTACATCGCTGTGACTCGATGTTTGTGTGTAGTAAGACCATTGCATTTTAAAAACACGTTTAGCCGTTCTCGTTCCATCGCCATTTTGGTTTCCTTCAACTTTCTCGCGATATCTAGCTACATTCCTCTGTTCGCGAACCAAGGAGTCCAGAAACAGTTCTCTAAAAAGCTGAACCGTACACGATTCGACATTTGGTTGAGCCCAGAGAGGGAGAAAATCAAAGATGGGTTGTTCCTTGTAACTCAGACCATTATCCCCTTTGTTACAGAGTTCGTTATTATTGTTTGTGTGATGGTCATGATAAATAGTTTGCGAAAGGCGTCTCGATTTCGAAAGTCGGCATCATCGGCATGGACCTTACCCTCCATCCAAACTGGAAGGCTACAACACGTAGAAAAGATGAAAGAAAAACAAACCAGTCCCAGCATCGTGGAGATTTCCGAACTGTACCAAGTCGCTATTGAACAAGACACTGACACCCAAAACAAAACAGTCAACAACAGAGACGATGAATATTTTACAGACACGCCAAGCACAGAGTGTAGCGAACCAGCGCTAGAGAATGTGGCAGACAGTCATTGTTCTTCGACAACAAAATTGTCGTGTATCAGTTCTGCGTATTGCATATCGGAAGGGCTTATTTCAACACAAGATTTTGAAAAAACGATCCCACAAACCGATGTGACCATTGTTACAGAAGTCAACAGAATAAACTTGCAAAATGTGAATGGTAGGAAGACTTCAGGACCGCTGAACCCAACTCCGAAAGATTCCCATGACTACGGCAGGGAGCCCATCCTGGGCCTAAGCGGGAGAGACCTCCAGGTGGTGAACCAGGTAGTGCTCATCAGCGTCATCTTCATCGTCCTAAACACCCCGTCTATGGTCACAGGCGTGGCAGGCGTGCTTGTGCCCGAATTTGACGCCAACTGGGAAAAGGATAAATACGTTCGTCTCTACCTCTTCGCCAGTTTTCTGAGGAGGGTTTTGGAGCAGATCAACTGCTCTCTCAACATATTCATTTACTTCAGATTTAACAGCAAGTTCAGAAATTTTTTACAGCCGAAGTGTATTGGGCGGTTTGGACAGCGGTTTTTGGCACGGGAGTGTTCACAAGTTGAGCGGTGATCCGCTGCTTGGCTCTTGATAGTAATCAGGAATGACGTTACATTTTTTAATATATTACATTTTTTATATAACTTCCGAAAAAAAAGACCCGCACAACTCTCCAACAATGTCTTTGTCTGACCCATGGATTCTACTGTCGTTTGTCATGGGCGGAACAAAAGACATTCCTGTCTTTTGGAGGATTAATATTACTAGAATTCACACTCTATTATTATGTTTATGTACCCACCAACTGCCAGGCAGGCTGTAGACAAGGAAACAACCCTCCCCCCCTTTTTCCCTCTTCCCGCCCCAAATCCCACTCCTCGAAACATTTTGGATAGAATATTGAATTTAGTGGGAGACTAACGTTTCGACCCCAGTATCTACTGTGCACGTTACTAGATCTGTAATGTGCACGGACACTTGGCTCGGATTTTCAGATTTTAGATAATATTTTTATAGTTCATTGTTTAAGGAAACAGGACTGCCGGGGCTTCAAACACTTCTCTGGGTGTATACCGACTCACATCAGTATGTATAGACAAGGTGTGATTTGACTTTTTTGGCTGAACATTACATTATGAATACTACATGGAATATAGAGTTTAATATTATACGAAAGCGTATAATAATATATGCCCTACGCAAAACGTTTCCAAACTTCGGCCATGATTGTGATCGTTTCACTTTAAAGATGAATGTGTCATTTAATAACTGTAACAACTTGTTCTAATCTTCTATAACATTTCTAATATATTTCTTTTCTCTGAGCATAATTAAAGGCTGTACATGTGTATTTCTGTTTGTCTCAAACCCTTTGCTACAGGGACACGTTTTGCCCTATATCTTGGTACATGTAGTCTACTTAAAAAGTCTAACTGAAATTATGCTCTAGTAAGTGTTTTACGGTACTCACAGCACAATTAGGTCAAATAGGCCTAAGTGGCGAAGGTTAGAGGCGTTACAAGAGAGTAACAAACACAAAAACGAGGACGGATGAGGACGATAGATGTTTGATAGGAAAGAAGCAGAAAACCACACCAGAGCACTCGCCCACCGCCCACTGATGAGCTGAAGTTAGAAAAAAAATTGTGTTTTTCTTCGTAGAACCGATTTTGGATACAGGCACAACGTATCCGAATTATAGTCGTTTAGTTTAAGTATGTACGAGTTTTACGTCACTTGCAACACAAATAGGTCGAGTAAGAGGTGTTATTAGAGAGTAACATATGAAGAGGAGGAGAAGAATGGTAGATAAGAAAGAATGGGCAAACCACACAAGAGCACACGTCAATCACCCACATTTTATACCTGTAGTTGTGACACACTGTACGAAGAAGCGTACCACGATTTATGGGGAATAAGTTTGTTGGTTAAAACATGAAAGTTAGAAGGACATTAAACAAAATAGTATAATGTTTCACGCCCATTTCAACATTGTAATTGTAGGGTTATGTTATGCCGGTAGCCTGTAGTTAAAGTTCTACGACGTCGTTTCTGGTTTAGGTGACGGTCTACCACAGACCGGTCTGACCTGGTTTTCAAAAGTTTATTGAACTTCTACCAGTTTATACATGCTTGGGACTTCTAACAAAAACACCCAAGAAATTTTCAGGGTGCGGGGGTTCGGATGCCCAGAGGAACAGAAAGATGTAGGCCTAACCTACTATACATGTAGTGGCATCCACCAAACACCTAAAGTCACCTTCTTTTGGAAGGTGAAGATCAACCAACATTCAAGACCACTGTTGGAGAAACAGCAAAAAGTAGACCACTTGTATGATTATTTTTGTTTTATTCCTACCAGAACATATAGCAGGTATATATACGAGGGTCAAGCTGGTATCTGACTGTGCTTACGCTGCCAACTGTCAAAGAGCTAGTGCCACTAATGAAGAGTAGGGGCCTACATATTTTTGTTTCTGTTTAGGAATGTCTGTGTTCGAAATTATGCCTGTAGAAGCTTTTCTTACTCTTAGAATTAATACATTTTGTGTTTATCCACACTTCTGAAAGTGTTTCATCTCGTGCAAGACAAACAGATCAATTCAAAGACAAATTTCTGCAAGGAAATAGGCTTTTGCTTGTATTTTTAGTTTGTTCAGGTCCAAGAACACAACAAGGCAAAAAGTGTTGTCCATGTGATGAAAAGAAAAAGTGAGACAAATATGCAGAAGTGAAAAAGTGAAAGAACACTTAATCAACATGGTATGATTATAGCTTAAGACATATAGTTTTAAGTAAACCGACAGATACTTCTATATTTTATATCTTTTACTGAATCAGGCCATACTAGTAATCTATTGTAACTTTAACACTTGTGGAAATATTCACATCGTTTCTGGAGGTGGTGATAAGCTGATGTACAAAGATGATGAATGATGGACCAGTTTGAGTTTGACAAAAGTCCAACACAAGGCATCTCCTTTGTGCATTGACGACACATAAGACCATGGCAGAAACAAGAACCATTCTTAATAATTATATCTTGTCACATTGTTCCACCTCTGGAAGTATGCTGTGCTATTGTTTGGTTTGAGTTGGCAATGGTCTATGGTAAGGACTTAACTTTACCACCTCTTTGGACAGATAGTGGTTGTTTCAGAAGCAGACCTCAGCCGAGACCAAGCCAATGGGATGGAAAGTTATAAATCTCCTCCCCAACACAACTTCAAGAGTCTTCCGTGGAGATCTGGACAAGGATCACAAGAAAGACAGCCAAGGGTGACACTCGCTGAGCCAACTTCTTGACAGGGGAGAAAAGAGTTTGGAGCTCGAAAAAGAATGTCGAGAATACAGCAACAAAATAAATACAAAACTAAGCAAAAACTTTACCACAATAATCAAAATAAATATGACAGCAACAGCAACAACACAGACATTCAGAAATCGCAAGGTCAATCATTCTTAGTTTTGGTGTACAAATATGCATTAAGTAAAACATTTAAAGCAGAGAAAAGTCTACCATTCTGCTTGTGTCTCTAAAATATACACGTGAACATTCCCAACAACATAAACAGAAAAGATGTTCTTCATTTTCAATTGTTTATTTTTTAAATAGTACAGTAAAAACATGCTGTCCAAAATTTTGCAAGATAAACAATTTGTAAAGTCACAAATAATGCTTTTTCTGTTTTTTAAAAATGACAAAATTTGATCCTACAATTGTTTTACTTTTGATTCCCCCCCCCCCCCCCCCTCCCCCACAGAGTGCATACCCTTTCCTCTTAAAAACCAACAAACCCCAAACCAAAAAACAATCAAATATTCTCTTTATAAAAGATGAGTTTCATTGACATTTAAAATATTTACCCCCCCCCTCCCCCCCCCCCAAAAAAAAAATTAATAATAAGCCTATTGCTCTGATTTGTAGATCTGAAGCTTGCATCAGCTTTCACAGATAGTGTCATGAACCCATGTTGTGCTCTATTTTACATATCACATGATTTTATCATATACCTCATACAATGGGTAAAAATATGCCCACAGACAATCACAAAGGCCCTAGTGCGCTCAGGCATATTCATGCATACACATGCATCCTTCTATTCTCAGTTTACCAAAAATATTCAGATCTTTCATGCATACAAGATATCAGCTGATTTCTTCTCATAAACACACGCATATATTTAAATAAGCATACAGTCAAACACAGAATTCTTGAAAAAAAAATGACACTTGAATATTGACACACTGTGGAATACACCGCTATCAATATCAGCGTTTCTTAAAATTACAAGTTTTCCCTCACAAATATACACATTTATGTTCATTCGCGCAAGACAATGCAGTTGATGCAATTAGCACTACAGCTCAGAGAACGTTGCTGATGCATTTGCAAGACCAAGTTTCCTGTGAAAAAATAGATGAAAAGAAGATGGAATGAAAATATGAACGTTAAAAAAAAAAGCCACTGAAATGTTAAAGGAATATTTAATGAAAGTGACAAAAGTGAGTCTCCAATTAATAATCACACTTAAAATTTGTAGAGCCCACAGTACTTGAACTTTTGTACTTACTCTGTTCTGTAATGTTTTCAGAGTTATGTGTAAATTGAGATAAGATCTTATTCTTTTTCTATATAACCAAACAACACTTGAAAGTTACGATATAAGCTGAATCATTTACTTTACAGTCACAAAAATGATAGTATGTCTTTCGTAAAAATAATCTATCAAACAAATTATGGGAAATGGATCTATGATAATGGAAGTGAATAGGAAGACAGTCAGTTTGTGTGATTCATTCTATCAAAACGTTCAACTTACGCTTCCCGCAAAAATATGTCAATGGTGATCCTATCGATGTCAGATCCATGTGGATTCTCATCATAGTCCTTGGCTCCAAGTGTTATCATCGCTGAAAAGCATAATATTATATCTCATATAATATAAGAAAGCTGAAAAATTAAAAGTGATATAAAAAAAATAATACAGAACTGAGCAATACATGAACAATATTTGAAGAGTAAACATGAAGCTGGAGCAGAGCAATTGTCATGATGAGAATGAAAATGGTGATGATGATAAAGGTGACGATGATGTCTATAACAGAGACGAGGAAGATAAAGCTGATGATGGTCACACATATCAGAAATGATTAATTGATCTTGACCCCATTAAGCATCTGCTATCAAAGCCTCTGCTACAGTGGAACTCGGATACAACGAGGTCGTCGGGCCTGACCAAAAATCTAGTTGAATCTGAGTGTTCGTTACAGCAAACATGAGGTTTTGTGGAGATAATTATAGGCACCGAGCAAGTAATGTATAAAGAGAAGTAACAAGTGGTACCTGAAATGCCTGCATATTATCTCGATTGTTCGCCAAGAAGTTGTGTTGCTGTGTAGAGCGTGGCATACGGCAACTTTGAAATTTGATTCCATAGACCAGCACATAATTCATTACGTAGATCTACATCAAGACTTAAAGACTAGCTTATCACTATAACAATGATCAGTTGCCGAGGGGGAAAAAAGACTGACGCATTTGTATCTGCGACGTTCAACGCCCGGACCGCTAGTGCCCCCCCCCTCCCCGACACGCACACACAGTCACACGTGTGCAGGCCATCCATCCAACCCTGACACACGCCAGATTATCAGAGTAGACACGTGAGCGTGCCAACAATGAATGTGTTGGTAAGAAAGAAGACCGCTGATTGGTCGCATGCAATCGGCTAAGTGAATAATGGTTCACGATGCAGGCGCAATGGATGGTTTCCGGAAATAGATAAAGTTCGTTCTGGGAGAAAAATTAGCAAAGCCACGTCTGCAGGGGGTGTTCACCCTGGAAGCGACCTCTTTGAATCTGAGCTCGCTGATTTAAGTTCTCGTAGAATCCAGGTTATTGTTATTGATTTTAAAGAAGGAAAAAAACGAGGAATCCATCTCCTCTCGTTGAATCCGAGTTCTCGCTGAATCCGAGCTCGTTGAATCCAAGTTCCACTGTACCTCCAGACAAGAACAGAATCTAGTACGTAAAATCTCCTCTATAAATTTTCACTACTTTGACATAATATAAGTCTTAAATTTCGTCTCTCACACTGACTTGCATTCAAGAACTTAAAGGATAAAACACAAATATTCACGAAATTATCATGTTAAACATTAGCTGTATATATGTATACTATTAAACAATTATGTTAGTAATCTATTACGGCGCATACTGAAATGTTTGTACATCTTAACTGCCTACATCAACAACAATGAAAAAGTAGATTTATGCTAGAACACACTTAGTAATTTTTATGTAGGCAGGTAGGACAAAGTTCAATGCAAAACATATGTCAAAAATTTCAAGAATAAATGGGTTACGACACATTGGAATCAGGCGCTTGTCAATTTTGGGGCATATGGAGTTACTGGTATCATCATAAAGGTTGTTAATTTTCCTCGCTTTCAATTAAAAAATATCAATTTATCTTGAATAGAAGTCGGGATATTTGCAATTGAAGGAGATGGGGTCGCCTGGTTTCAGAGGTAAAATTCGCGAGAAAATGGCCGCCAAAGTTGAGTTATTTCCTTAGCTCGAGAGTCCATGGAAACTGAAAATTTTCATCTTTTATTCCTTTAATCAACATTTTACAGTGAAATCCACACAGAAATATTCTTTAACGGGCACAAAAGGTGATGAGCCAAAAAAACAAAAACTCGATAAAAATTCCCAAACCTGCGAAAAAAATACCAGTTTCTTGACTTTCATGATTTTGACGAGCGCCTGATTTCACCACACTACCTCACAAATATGTATTATTTTCCATTCTACCTCTCATTTTCAATGTTTAGTGTAAGACTCAGCAATATCCCATTTAGAAAAGAGACATAGTCTATGATGAAATATACCGAACAGTTGATTTCAAGTGAGCATTTTGCTTCCGTCTGCTATTTTTCGACCTTAGAATAACAAAAGCTTTAGATAATTATTGGATCAGAATTAAAACTGATATAAATGATAACACAGACGAGCAATCTTTGGATCTTTGAATGCACACATACCTTCCTGGTACTGCTTTACAGTCACATAGCCACGTCCAGTTGGGTCCAGCATACCAAAGACAGATGAGATGTTAGACTCATCAAATAAGCATGGATAGTTCAGCTTTGATGTTCTGGATTTCTGCAGTTTTTCCAAAGACTCTATCAAAAAGGCTTTCGGATCATCTGAAAAGAAAACGGCAATAATTACAAATATGAAAGACCAAGTCGGCATATAGAATACAGAACAGTGCAAGAAAATATGCTTTATTTAAACTCGGGACAATAGAATACACTTTTAAAATACAATATAATTAAAGTCATTAGCCCCACCCCCCTCCCCACAATAAATGTAGCCTATATTAATAACCTTTGCTTGACTGCGAAGTACTATCATCATTATCTGTCAAATTTTAATTAATTTCTTAAATTTTGATGTGCAATGCATGCTTAGAATTATAACTTGAAAACTTTTTCATAACGAAAATAGATCTAGATCTATAACTTTCTGCCACAAAACAGTGAATTTGGGGATTTAAACAGGCCCGGGTAACCATGACTGCGAATTGTAATAACTAAAGTTTTCTAGTTTCCCATGACTCGCTTGAGTCACAGAACCACAGGTTATAGGAAAAAAATCAAACAACAACAACAATGAAAAACGCTACAATTATCAAAATAAATTTTCGTAATACACTTACTTTCTTGGGTAAGCTTTCGTAAAAGTAATACACTTACTTTCTTGGGTAAGCTTTCGTAAAACCCCCCCCCCCCAAAAAAAAAAAAAACCAAGAGGAAAAACAGTGAGCTTCATCAAATTTTGAAGACTTTCTGATTCAGCAAAGTTGGTGTTAAAGTATAGGTATAGGGAGAACATTGCCTTGTTTTGAATTGGTGTAATTGGTAATTTTCTGTAGTAAAGTTTGTACCTAGATTTAATCAAGATGGTTAGATCTAGATCTAGATATCTAGCGGTGCGGTGCCTTGCCTTAGGCCATAGTTTAGTCTTAGTAGTCTTAATTTAGTGAGATGACTGACTCAGACAAAATTACTAGATTCTAGATCTAGATCTATTTTAAAACAACAAACTACTGAAAATATAAATAATTATAACATACCAGGTCTTGAATATATCAACTGAGATGTTAAATTATTAAAAAGTTCCAGTACACGATGTTTATCTAGGTATTCAGTTGCCTCCTCGCTACGCAGCTTCGGTCCTGTGCGTTCTGTGTCAGCCATTTTGGAACACTATTTTGATTGCCATAGTATTCACCTCGACGCAAATGTTTAAAATAATATAATCAAATCTTATTAATGTCTTAAAAAAATAATAATTGATAGTTTCATATCAAACATGAAACCAAGATTCAAACAATAATTAATTCTATATATAAAGCGGAACATATAGAAATTATCAAGATATTCTCTTCATACCTACAACATGGCCGCCCCCATTGGAAAATAATAATAAACTTCAAACCCGGCGGGTGCGCATATCAGATAGATCTAGATCTTGGCTACTTGAACACATTTCGTTCTGCGAAGTAAGCAACAACTGTAAGTTTTGCCCCCCCCCCCCCCCCCTCTCTCTCTCTCTCCCCCCTCCCCCCCCCCTTTTATAATTCCCCCCCCCCCCCCCCACACACACCAAAAACTAAAATTCTAGTGTAGATCATGTTTGGTTTTCATTGACCGTCTTTCTCGTTTCTTAGCCGAAAAAGTATTTAGATTTTGCCTATTCGGGCCTATGCTATTCGCCTATAAATTTTATAATTGTGCGCTGGTCTATGGAATCAAAAGTTGCGGTACGTACCAAAGTTGCCGTATGCTCAGCTTTACACAACAACACAACTTTTTCTTGGTAAACAATCGATATGACACAGGCTTGTGTATTTGAACGAATCGGTCTTTTTTTTTTACCCAGCTCATAATATGCAGGTGCCAGGTGGTCTGCTAATCTTCAATTTTACCTTTTCCTACAAGAAAGTGGGAAACATTGGGGGTAGGGGGGGGAGCGTATCCATGAAGCGGCGGGCATCGGATCGGCAGAAAAGTTGTGGGGGAAACTAAAAAATGGCAGAAAATTGGAAGCACTGAACGTTAGATCTATACTATAGAACGAAGACACTTCCTTTTTTCTGTACTCGAGTCCGAATAAGATTTTTTTTCGGACTCGAGTCCGAATATGAAAAAATGTTAATCGGACTCGAGTCCGAATAACGACTATTTAGGCCTATAATTAGGCCTATTCGCTATATCGTCAAGCAGACCCTGCCTCAGCGCCTCAAGAGGCTAAGATTTTACCCGCCACCAGATTTTTTGTTTGTAGGCAGATAGAATCTTATGTTCGCGTAATTAAATCAGCGTATCGATGAAGCATAATAAATTGTAGTTTGTTTTGAATATTCTGAAATATATAGATTTATAGATCTATAGGCCTATATCAACCCAGGCAGAGGTTACAAGATCTAGATCTATGTAGTGTTCTAAAACATTCATTGGATTGTTTTCGTGTCAGAGAAAAGACCTCTTAACAAGCTTGGGCCTATAAACTGAAACAATAAAGATATCTAGGTCCTGTCTAGATCTAGATCTATATTATATATATTGTTCAAATTATTCAAATTGTTCTAAAATGTTTATCTCGTCTTGCCTGTTTCTTTTTTTTGTGATCGTTTTAAATGTTGCAAATTGCATCGGCCAATTATATGTGTTCCAATGCGAACGACTTGATTTTGTGCATTTCTTTAGAAATGGCGTTTATGAAAATTTAAAGCTTTAAAGTGGACACAGTAGGCCAATTACTAATGTGATTTTTATTCAGTAAAATATAAAAAAATGTCTAGATTATCTACCGGTATTGAAAAAAAAAAATGCAACTGTAATGTGACACATAGTCTGTCATAGGCCTAATTATTAAATAACACTAATTTGCAGAATCTAAAAAAATTGTCTGTTTCATTTATTTTTTTTCTAAATTAAAAAAATACTGAAGTGATCTTTTTTTAAAATGGTAGATTACAGTCACCTTAAATATCTTCTTGAATGACTGTGCCATTGCAGCATTGCAGGAACTGTGCTGTGTAGGCTTAGGCCAAGATTGACTTAATCTGCTCTTCTGTCTAGCGTCCCTTAAATTGGCTGTATCCTGACCATCTGTGTCTGTACTTTTACATCTTTTCCAACTCTTCTTAATTAGTCCCTGTTTCTTTAACTTTAATTAAGCAAGCATAAACTCTTGGCTGACATTTGCAGAGGTAGCGCTTGCAAACATAAACAAGCATATTAAGTTCAACTGCCCTTGTCAAGTCCGAACAACACTGAATATTAGCATGTTTGAGCCTATCTATTGTGTCCCAGTAGTTTCTGTCTTCGTTTTTTACTTTCCTTTTCTTCTTATTTAATATTGTCTCTGTCCCTATTCCCAGTTCTTAACTCCTGTGTCCCTTCCTGTTCATCTGATTTATTTTATAGCTCATGCTAGCTCTTTAACTTTAACAAAAAAGATTCTAAATCGGACAGGATAGGGCAATGAAGTTTATAACAGGGAATGAGGAAAGCAACACTCCAAGGGGTAACTGGTCATTTCGTCACACGGTCATCTCGTCACGCCCCAAGTATGTGTGACGAAATGACTTCCCTTGTCCCTCGATAATTGTTATAGCCCAAGAGGGGCAGCGTTTCCCCAGAAGTAACCCGCCCAAATGCATTTTCCATATTAGGAATGCTGAAATTTTCAATTGAAAAGGGTCTGGGTCTATCTATGCCCTATTTGATGTTTGCAAGTGTGTGAGGAAATCCATGTGGATTTGGGGTGTGATGAAATGACCCTGTGACGAGATGACTGTGATTGTGATGTCTTAACTGCACCGGTGTGACGAAATGGCCGGTATTGGAGTACATGGCAATGCTTTATAATTACAGTGACTCCCAAGTATACCCACATACACATGTGCACTTACGCAAACAGAAAACATATACTCATACTTTAAATAGTCATTATAGTGATGTTGCTTTGTAAAGATTGGTTATATATTAACTATGCTGTCTTTTTCTTTTGTCAGATCTTGTTAAAACTGGTACGGGAGACATCAAAATGACCTCATTCCCAGTTTCTCACAAGACAATATTTGTTTTGGATCACTCTTCCTATTTTGCCCAGTCCTGCAAACAACCCATTGAGTATGATGTGCTGCGTTCTAAGGGCTCAGGGGTGATCCCAGCTGCTCCCATAGAAAAATCTTTATGGACTTGTAATGTGGAAGGTTTGCAGGAATACTTGCGAGTTGTGTTTGATATCTACCCTGTGGACAAACAGGTTTGTATAGATTTTATATTTCATGTATGTGTCATGAAGCGGTGGAATCAGGTGCTCGTCCATTTTGGGCCATATGGAGTTATTGGTATCATCTTAAAGCCTGGCCGTGCTTTTGATGAAAAAAAAATTAATTTATCTTGGATATAAGTCTAGATATTAGCAGTTGAAGGATGTGGGGATCGCCTGTTTTCAGAGATAAGATTAGTGAGAATGTGGCCGCCAAAGTTGAGTTATTTCCTTATGCTTGGGAGCCCGTGGAAACTGAAGATTTACATCTTTTGTGCCTTTAAACTGAAAATCCGCACAGAAACGTGTTCTTTAACGAGCTTGAAAAGTGTTGAGGTAAAAAAACAAAAACTCGATAAATATTCCCAAACCTGCGGTAAAATGCCAGTTTATTGACCTTTATTATTTTGATGAGTGCCTGATTTCACCTCGCTGCCTCACATATTATGCTTTTGTGAGAAGAGTGACTAGTGAATGTGTTTCTAAACAATTCATCTCGGACAAGTTGCTTGTAGTGACAGCTTATTCTCTATGATTTGTTTCTTAAGTCATTTTATGTTTTTAACATGTTTTTTTTATGTTTATGTTTTCGACAAATTTTGTCAAAGTGTTGTTGATGTCTGAAAGATGATGTCTTGGAAAATCAATGTTTGTCATTTTATTGACTACCTACTACATTTTTTGAAAATTGAGCATTTTCAAAGAGACACATTAAGTTGTCCTGGTAAAGAGTACTGAATTGCAATTTTTTAAAACATTCAATATATGGCCATTCTTGTTATTATTAGTCCAAGACATAACATGACACTTAGTATAAATACAATAACAAGGTTGCCACTATAATTTACTATGTACCTTTGTTTTTCCCAGGTGCGAGTCATCAGTGGAAGCAATGTCATGAACGGTTGGAATGACAGTGATTGTGTCAGTGTAGGTGTCATTTTGTTCCCTAATTGGGAAGAAAACCTGTATACACTTTGTCATGTTGTTACCTTATTTTCAGTTGTGGAAGCCATGTCTTTTAAAAAATATTATGCTTATGTACTTTTTGCTATGATGTAATGTGTTATCTTGTACATTCTCTGTTTTTGCAGGTGGCTGAAGGACATTATAACTAGCAGTTCTTACTTTTTTCGTTCCTTAAATGTGGTTTCTATCTGTCTTTCTTGCTTTTTCTTTGCACTATATGGATGTTATTGTTGGGATGTGCTTTTGTTTATTTAAACTGAAACCAAATCTTAGTTTGAAAAGAGTCATAATTTGGAGCAATGTCTATGAACTTATAGTTTATCACCATATATTTACTGTGTTTACATAGGACTGTACAATGTCACTGACACACACACATAAATACGGGTGTACTGTAGCTAACATTTACTTTTCGATTTTTGATCTTATCAGGCTGTTTTGATGAAGTTAGCTTTGCTGGGCCCACCAAAAGCTAAAGAAGATCCCGACTACTCTCTGCTCCATGGTTTGTCCTGTGCCATAGAGACCCTTCGAGAGCCCACGTTGCAGCAACAAGCTGCCATTGACCAAGGGGAGTCGGTGAAGAATAGGGGACGCATTGTCTGCCTGACAGCTTTGAAAAAGTAGGTCCCTGTTTTGTTTTGATTGACCCAATTTCTTGCATATGTGTTCATTATGCAACAAAGGTACATTCATTTTCTGTTGTGATATCCTCTATATATTAGATAGTAATTCAGATTGAGAAACAGTGTATCAGGTTCGAGAAGGAGGACATCTTCTAATTTTTGAGTCTCTACAACAATATTTAAATTATATTTATTTGGACAGAGTTCAGAAGAATGTATCATATGGGAAAAAAATTAATATGAAATGGAGGTTTCAAATACACTGCAAATTTGGAATTTGGTTATATATTTTTTTCTGATGCTTTTTATATAGGCATGTTAACCAATGGTAGATCTTCACAAGAAGACGTTCTTGAAGGATATGAGATATATATATAATTTTTTAAGTCTGGTTTGGGAGAAATGATGAAAATGTGAAACTATACAATAATTGAAAACAATGTTGACCATAGAACTCTTTGTAATTTATCTTGGTTGTTTTCCTCTTTGGACACTTGATATCAGGCCTGAGCAGTTTTTTATGGAACAAGTTTTCAGCTGTAAAAGATCTCTAGATAATGTTACTGGACTCTGGGATGAGTAGAAAATGTCAATGAGCAACAACATATTCTTTGGTAACCCCCCCCCCCCCCCCAAGGTCATATGACACAAAGAAGATTTCTCTTCAGGTCTTATTCCTAAACTTTGTTATCTCAGTCACCCCATGTTCACAGATAAAGTGTTGGAGTTTCATTTTGTAGCTTCCAGTTCCCAGCTTTTTCTTTCGGGATGACCTTTGTTGACCGAGAACGTTCTGTCGGGTGGGCTGTTTTATCTTTTCATTTTTTTCCCTTATGTTATTATAGTGGTAGATTTTCCAGAAAATGAAGTAGCTGACTTCTATCCCAACTATTCTCCTTAATCCAGTTGAACATATTTCAAGAAAATCTCCACGTTGACTTTCTATTTGTATTTACATTTGTTCCTTTCTTTCATTTCTTGTGCTGATTAGCAGTTTTTTTGGGTTAATTAAAAAAAGAAAATTCAATTCCTATTACTCACGCAATTACTCAAGAAGAGTTTTCCTTAATTTTCCCCCTTCCACAGTGAGAACCATGTACAAACCATACAGGAGTACGTTCTTGAAACGATTCAACAATACAGCAAGATGTCTGTGTCGGCAGAACTGTGAGTACTTTAAGATTTGGAAGGCACATGCTGCTTTATCTGCATATCCGTCAGATTGGAGAGGCACCTAAGCACATTGTATGATGGATGCGATAGACTTAAACTATCAGTTTAAAAATGATTGCTTGTCTCAAGAATCTAGCTTGTATGGCTCTATGAAAAAAAACCTGGTTGTATCAAACCTTGATTTTTCGAGAAATCATAAATAATTAAAAACTCTTGACTCTAATGAGGTGATTATTGTTTATTTTATCTGCAAAATTATAGCCCATCATAGTTTGTCCTTTTGCCCTAATGATTAAATACTGAAACACAGATGGTTTCATTCAATTCAAATGCTTTGAAAATTATGAACACTACTCTTTAAAATTTAATGTCAATATAGTGACATGGCATGTTTTTCCATTGAGCTGCTTCAAGTGTTAGAGTTTTGGTAAACACAAGAGTCTCATTTGTTGTCCATTTTGAAATTCTTAGTTTGCCCTGCACATTTCGTTTAAACTGACTGTTTGCAGATACAGTTTCATGCTTATCGTCTATTTGTGTTGGGTGCTGTTCTGTTTTTGTTTTTTTTCTTGACTTATATCTGCAAATGTTAAAGTTGTCATTTCAGATCACTGTAATCTAGTGCTATTAAATTGCTGTCTGTGTTTTTCTTTTAGATTATTTTTCACTCATACCATTTGTAGCGCCTTCATAAGAAGGCATTTTATACTTAAAAGTTGATTTTTTGTTTGTTGTACATAACAATCTCATTAGCTCACATTCCATGGACTATCACTCGTCTCGAAATGAGATTTTAAAACATGGGAAGTAATACGGTTTTTTTTCTTAGAAGTGTATTTCAAGATTTACGTCCCTTGGCAAATTATTCCCAATGTTTTCAGTTATCTCAGGAGGTAACGTGAACTAAAAGTAAGAGACAATTTAGTGCATATTGCGCTACACATCATATCCACATTGGTACACACACTCTCACACACCTACTCAAACACACACACACACAAATAAACACACACATACATACACACACACAAACACCCACGAGCGAGTATGCACTCTCTCTCTCTCTCACACACACACACACACA